AGCGAGTGCGTGCCCCAGCAGTGAGGGCGGTGGGGGTACTGACTGGCTGGGGTTCCTGGAACTGCCCCCGTGTGTGAGGCTTCGGAGAGGGGGTGATAGGGGACCCAGCGGAGTGGCTCTTCCTGCCTCCGCTTCCCGCTTCTTTCTGCCCCACACGCGTAACCCCCTGAGAGCAGACTTTCAGATGTGGCTCCAGCTCAGCCACTCTAGTTCCACAGCAGGGACAGTGTTGAGGACTTTTTGCATCTCTGTGTTTTAAATAAAAAGAGCCCTTTGAAAGCTGACCGGACGTACCAGCCGCTGGCCTATGAAAAACCCGGGACGTTGGATCACGTCCATGTCGACCTCCTGGTTATATTAAGGTCACGCAAGGTGCCACCCCTGGGGGACCCTGGGTGGAAGGTCTGAGGATCTCACTGTCTCATTTCCTCAAAATCAAAAGTTGTAAAAAGCTACGGTCTTCCCCATACTGTCGCTAGGCAGGAACCTGGCCCGGAGCAGGTCTTCCTCAGGGCGGCTGTCACGTGGGCTTTTGACTGTGTGCCGGAAAGATGTCACAACACAAGTCCAGATGACTGTGAGGGTGTGTTTATTAAAGTTGGGGACAGTGACACAGAGGAAAGGCTCAGCACAGAAGAAGCTACAGGAGAGAAGAGCCTGGGCTGGGCTGCCTTCGCTCGCTGGGAAGTCAGAGAAGAGGGGGCCTTAGGGCCGGGGTCAGAGGGTCAGCCGGGGACGAGCCTCCTGCTGTGCACTGCCCCCGAGTGCAGGGACGCTGCCTGTGGGGAAGGAGTGGGGTGCGAGGAAGGGAGAGGCACGGACCGCTCCCCGGAGGGAGAGGCGCTGGGTCCTTTGTCTTGAGGGTTTTCTCTCCTGCAGGAGGGACCTTAGGGGAGGTCTCAGGGGAGGGTCTCGGCAGAACAGGCACCAGTTCCCCAGGTGCGCCCCTACAGGGTCCTGGTCTCCACTGGTTGGTCAGTGACAGGGCAGGGGGTCATTGGTCACTGCAGCTGGTTCCCACCTGGTTTGGCTGCTTTTCTGGGCCTGGAGCAGAAACATAACTGAGGCCTGATGTCACCTCCAGGGAGGGAGGGCTGCGGAGGACAGGTTGCCCTCGGGGCCAGGCCCCTGTTTCCCGGTTTTGCCCCCTGCCAGGCACTGGGGCCTTCCGCCCTGGGTGCTGGTGACCGTTTGACCTGGCTGTAAATTGCTTGGCCAGTCTGTTCAGCTCTCTGTCTCAGTTTTCCCATTCCCCTTGCCAAGGAATTTTCCTAGCTTCTTACTATCCTGTCTCAATACCACACATTCCAAAGGAGCAGCCTGTTTACTCTGTGGAAAACACTTAGCCAGTGTCCAATAAACAGAAAAATAGGGTACCAGTACTCCTCAAGGCCGTCAACAGGGACGAAATGCGGATACTCCCTGCATTTCAAGGTTCAAGGGATAAACCTTGAGGACATCATGCTAAGTGGAAGAAGGCAGACACTAAAGACGTCTTACGGGACTCCGTTTCTGTGAAACGCTCAGAACAGGCAAAGCGTTGAGTCAGAAAGCAGATCCGTGGAGCTGGGAGGGGCAGGGCCAGGGGGGAACAGGGACAGGCTGCTCGTGGGTCCGGGGTCTCTCTTTTGGATAATCTTCCCCTTTTCAACAGCGCCTCTTTTTTGGGTGACCCCCCACTTTTGGGTGATGCTCCACAAATGGAGGGTGGTGGTGGCACAACTCTGTGACTGGACTAAAGCTCTTAAAAAATTTAGGGCCTTCGACAGCTGTAAGAGAAGGAACGGCAGTCTCTTGGGAATAGCGGGTGTCTTCCAGATACACACACTCCTGGGCTCGGGCTGTAGCTCCCACGTTCAGCCCGCTGTCCAGCTCGGGGAGGGCTCCCTCATGCGCCGGGTTCGCAGGCCTCCCGCCGAACCTCAGCTCAGCGGCAAGTCCAATCGCTCGTCCCGGGCGGATGCGGACCTGTGGCAGCCAATTTGCCAGGTGCTCCCACATGCGAGTTCTCACACTCCTGGCAGGCCTGCACGCTCAGGGGTTTTGTGCGCATGTTTTATACATGACGTTTGTCCCCAGAGACAGCCGGTGCAGGGAGAGAGTGCTGCCACAAGGCCAGAGTCGGAGCTGGGGGCCTGCGGAACCCCGAGTCCATCTTCTTTCCGCAGCCCGACAGAAGGCTGGGTTGACCAGCTGTCCCTCACGTCTTACACAATTGGAGAGGGGTTGGCTGCAGGTAAAGGCCAGGCTCCTGCGGCAACAGACAGCTTAGGAGTGTCAAGGAATGGCCTGTGAGGAACGGCCTGTGAGTTCGAGCAAATCATTTCAGGCTGTGTCCTCGGTGGGGAATCTCTGCTCCTCCGGAAGAGAGTGACGTTCTGCCCTGGTCCCCGGGACAGCTCTTCCCAGGAGAGCTTCTGCGGAAAGAGAACTGTGGGAAAACATGTGGGAGCTTTTCTGGGACACGTTTCTGAGTGTCACGAGCTCCTGGAGGAAATGGTTATTTCCCCGAGGTCCCCGGCTTTGTCGGTGCCCTGAGCTTGCAGCTGGTTGCCGCTGGAGGAGCTGGCTGAGGGTACGGAGGGAAGCCTCTGTTGCAGCCAGGGAACTGGGTCGTTTTTTGTAAGAGAAAATGGTGGCGTGTTGTCAGGCCGGCACAAGTGAATCAAGGTTAGTGACAGGCAGGTAGTCAAAGGTAGACTGGTTAGCTCCCAGGAAGCTTATTAAAAATGCAGATTCTCCCGACCTACAGAACCTGACTCTCTGGGGCGATGGCCAGGGACCTGTGTTTTGGTTCACTCTCACGATAACTTCTGTGTACCCTGGCGTCGAGCACGAGAGGCTGGTTGCGTTTCCAGGGGAACACCTCCTCCTCTGCTTGCCCCAGTCTTGCAGGTGGAGGGTGAGCTGGAACCCTTCGTGTGTTGGAAACATTTATTAAGCACTTGCTGCGTGCAGGCATGTACTCCCTGCTGTGAAGGCGTGTACTTCCTAGTGGGGGTTAGATAGTAAATTAGGGAAACTGATATAGAAATGACTGCAAGTGGGGGTGTGGCCCTGGGGTGGTGGCACTTAGCCCTTGAGGAGGAAGCAGAGAAGATGCCTGAGTAAAGAGCCAAGGGAATGGATTTCCAAAGAAAGGTGTGCAGAGGCCTGGAGGTTGCTGGGGGGCGGGGGGCGGGCGGCCTGATGGTGGTGAGCTGGGCGTGTGGGGGTGCAGGAGGCAGAGAGCGCTGGGCGGGGGGGGGGGGCGGGGACAGGGGCCTGGATTGCACCCGCGGGACCCGGGGAGGAGTGTGAATTTTCCTGTGAAGATGGTGGCCGGCCACGAGGGCTTTAGCCAGGGAATGAGAGGCCCTGGGAAAGGTTTGGGTCCTCCTGGCCGTGTAGGAAGGGCCGTGTGGAGGGGGCAAGAGATGAAGCCAGGGGCGTGGTGTGTGGCAGATTCTGTCAAACCGTGATTACTCCCGTCCCCCTCCCCCAAGCGGGGGGCATGGTTTCAGAAGAGACACGGGATGCTTTGCCAGGGCCTCTGTTAGCACGTCAGACAGCGCAGCCTTGTGTGAGACACGCACACGCCCGTGCTGCCTCCGCCAGACGCCGCTGGGTCACAGTGCCCGCGGTGTCTGTGCCCACTGAACTGCCTGTACGACTACATAAAAAAGTGGATTTTGTCCCAAGAAAATTCAGCTTCGGTGTCCGCATTCTTGAGGCCTAGAGCCGAGCTCAGTTGACTCCAGTTTAGCCGCATCTGCAAGATTTGATCCCTTTCAGAAATCCGAGCTCACTAGCGTTGCCTGGGCTGGCATTTTCTTAGCTGAGAACTGCTTCCCTGTGTGTAGGAAATCAAGTATTTTATTTATAAATAAGAAGAATTGCTTAAGGGCGCCAAGAGTCCTGGGTTTAACTTCTTTGTTGCACAAGTTCGATTTGACCCTGGACAAGTCATTTCAGTTTGTAATGTAGTGTGTCTGTGTGGAAATGAGTAGTAAATAGTCCTGGTAAACTTCCCGTTGCCGTGGTCCCTGGGTGAGTGCTCTCCGGTACCTCGGAGAGACACGGTGCCAAGGCCCTGGTGCAGAAGGGAGCGGGGCCGATGGCAGAGAGCGGAGCAGCCGGAGCGCGACGGGGCGGTGGCTGAGGTGCCACTGTTGCTGAGGTTGTCAGGGGCCTCGCTGGGCAGGGCAGACCCCGTCGGGGACTTTAACCTTTATCTGAAGAGCAAGGGGAAGCCATGGGCGGATTTAAATAGGGGAGTGACTTAAGGTTGCTACACCATCCCGATTAATCTTCCTGGCAAATGTAGGTGGTCGGCAAGATCCCTGTTTTCAACCAGCACAGACACCTGGGTAGTGGCGGTGGAGGCTCACCCAAAACCTCAGGGCAGCCTGACTCCAGAGTCCTCTGCCTCCCTATTGGCCCAGCTCAGTAATAATATAACAAAGGCCGCAGTTTTAAAGCGCTTTGAACTCTGACGATGAAAGCTCTCCCTTAATTTACAAGGTGGCATTATGCTGCAGAAACCCGAGTGGTGATGAGAGAGTGGATATGCTGGGGACCTTTTAAAAGGCCTGGTCTGCGTGGCTGGAGTCCAGCATCTTCAAGTTCCTCACTGCCTGCTGGGGGGCGTCTCACAAGCAGCTATCAACTCAAGGAAGGGCTTGGCAGCTCTGCCTGGCCATTTGACACGGCCATTGTCCATAATGACTCATTGTCTGAGAAATGTGCCCAAGGTGTGTACTTTCAGGGAGTCTGAGCTGGGAAATCAGATCTGGGCAGGTCCCGCGTGGTTTCACTGGAGCGGCTGCGCCGCGCCAAGTTTCTGCTTTCTCCCTCTTGGGCAGTGAGCGGCTTTAAGTGGATGCTTAGAGGCTGGTTGTGGAGATCAGCATCTCGACTTCGAACAGGGAGACCTGTTCAGGGCTGAGATGGGGAAGCAGCTGTTGGCCTGCGGCCCTTGAGGCTGTTGTTGATGACGACCAGTGTTTGCTCTCTTCCAGTTGACCATGTGGTGCCGGAGCCTGGGACGAGCCTGCTGGCTGCCTTCGACCAGTGGAGGGAATGGGCCGACAGCAAGTCCTGCTGCGACTACTCTCTGCACGTGGACATCACCGAGTGGCACAAGGGCATCCAAGAGGAGATGGAGGCCCTGGTGAAGGACCACGGTAGGTGGCGCTGACCCACAGATCCTTTCGGCCCCACGCCGGGCCTTCGAGGAGCGAGGGCTTCAGCAGCTTGGAGGCGGCTTACCCTGCGCGGCCGCAGAAGCCTTCATTCATTGGAGGACCCGAGCCCTATCCCGGGGACCTCTTCTGATGCCACGCCTGCTTGCAGCTTATTGGCCGGAGGGAACCATATGCCCCAGCCAGGTTGGGGGGGTTGAGGCTGCCCGGTGACCTGTCCTCAGAGTGTGACAGGGCACATCTCAGTGAGGATCCCAGGCAGTCGTAGGAGAGTGCCTAGGACCCGGAGCGGAGAACTCGGGCAGCGTCTTCCCGCAAACCCGGAAGAGCCAGGACAGATTTGAGGGAGAACCTGAGCGGTCTTTGGGTGCTTTAGACCGTTTTGAGGAGCAGAATCCCAGGGATTGGGTTCTGAAAGATTTCCAGGGTGGCTGGAGGGATCTTGAGGATCTCAAGATGCCTCTGGGACCCTCTTATCCACAGGAACCTTCGGGGTTGGGGTGTTGTTACCAAATCACATCATCTTCCAGGGTCTCCTTGAACTTGGCTACAGACGTGACGTGACTCCTGGGTCACGTGACGTTGGAGACCTCACTGGGTCGTAACTCTCAGGGAAGCCCCTGCCGCTTTCGGGTTTGTAGACTTCCAGGTGCAGGGGTCCCGTGAGCTGTGAGTGAAGTGGCAGGAGGGAATTGCGAGGCACAGATAGGGAGACATCCAGAGAGCGGATGCCCAGAATGCAAATACAGAGTCTTGGTTTTTGTTCTTCCACAAACTAGCCTGGGCAAATCACTTTTTAAAATTTTCTGAGTCTCAGTTTTTTTTAAAGTCCCTCAAAGGAGGGTATGGAGTAGATATCCTAAGATTTTTTCTAGCATGAAGGTCCAACATAAAAGAAAGTAGCTAACCCTTGATCTTTCTCACTTTTGAGAATACTGAGATTTAACTTTTGACACTTAAAATGAATCTAAATCAGCCAAGAGGGTTACCATAGCAACTGTTGCCTGGCAGCAGAGAAGGGTTGAGATGTCCTGAGGCTTGAATTTAGGCAGCTTCCAGCATCCCCAGTGGCTTGAATGAAGCTCTGGGGCTCTGAGGTTGTCAGTACAATTGTTCACCATTGTGGTGAATGTGATGGATGTTGGATGGGGCGGCCAGAACTCCAAAATGCCCGGGGGAGAATTGCAGCGTATGCTTGTCACACTCACGGACCTTTTCTTAAAAATCAGTGGGGAGGAATGGAAAAAAATACAATAAAAAAAATGAACTATTAAAAAGTACAAATAAAAGACGAAAAACAATCAGCATGGAGGGCAGCCTGTTTACCCAAGAAAAGGCTTTTGTTATAGATCTTCATGAACAGGAGCTTCTAATTCATTTTCTTGTTAAAGTCACAACAGTCGGAGGAAAGTTTTTGTTTAATTTTTACTTTTTACTTGTGGTAAAATACAGCATGACCTAAAATTTACCACCCTAACCAGGCTACAGTTTGGCGGTGTTACGCACATTCCCGTTGTTGAGTGACCACCCCACCGCCCGTCTCCGGAACTTGTCATCCTTCCGAAATGACACTCTGTCCCCATCGAACACGAGCTCCCATTCCCCCGCCCCCCGGCCCCGGGCAACCCCGTTCTGCTTTCTGTCTCTATGAACTCGACACACATGTGGAATCCTACCGTGTTTGTCCTTCGGTGACCGGCTTCCTCACTGTGTCCCCGAGTGTCCCCGAGTGTCCTCGGGGTCGATGCAGGTGTAGCCGGGTCAAAACCTCTTGCCTCGGGCCCACCAGCGAGCTCTGCACCAGGTGGTTTACCCATTCTCCTGTGAGCGCACGCGGGCTGCTTCCACTCCCTGGTGCTGTGAATAAAGCTGCTGGGTGCTTGTATGCGTGTACAAATAATGGCAACTTTTAGTTTTGATACAGTTTTAAACTTAGACAATGCTATGAATACTACAAAGTACTCTCACACCCCATTTCCAGATGTACCAGTTGTTTACCTTTTGCCCAATTTACTTTATCGCTGCCTCCGTCTCCCTCTGCCTCTCTCTCTGTCCAGAGTGGGGCACAAGGAGCTTTACAGTTGTGGGTACGTGAAACAGTTAATAAAACTTTTGTAATAATGGAATAGTCATATCGTGTATGTCGTCTTTCCATGTGAAAAACTGTAAACCTACATGTGCCCCACCTGGGACATATCCACATACGCTCGGCATTGTACCTTCTTACCCCCTTCCAGGTTATTTGGATTATCTGTTACAGTCATGCATTTTGTCTGTTCTCCAGGGGTAAATTCCTTCCTCGTGTACATGGCTTTCAAAGACCGCTTCCAGCTGACGGATTCCCAGGTGAGAAGAGCTGGCTTTTCTGAACAGGTTCCCTGGCGCTGGGGACACTCGGGCCACTGCTGTTGTCTTGAAAGCCGCCTGCAGTGTATGCACATCCCTTAGCTTCGGAGGAAACGGCCGGTGGATAAAGCCCGCGATCTCCCTTTGCCTGTGGGGAGGCAGGCTCCGAGCCCAGTGCCCAGTGCCCAGTGCCCAGTGCTGGTGTTCTGCCAGGCTCTGGAACCGGCCTGCATGGGGCTGGTGGGGCAGAGGCGTACCGAGGGCCTGGTGTCACTGTGAGCATTTCTGAGCTGGCCACTCACAGTCCGCATCCTTTGAGGTTACCCTGTCTCAGTTTATTTCTGAGCGGTTCTGCTCTGCCCCGCACGGCCAGAAATGTTGCCCTCGGGGTACATTGAAAAAGCAGCGAGGACGGGGGTGCCCGTTCTGACCCCCAAGGCCACAGGGAGAGGGCTGTACTGTGAACTGGAAGATGGAAGTCCCCGTCTCTGACCCCAACTGCCTCCCCTCAGATCTACGAAGTACTGAGCGTGATCCGGGATATCGGTGCGATCGCCCAGGTCCACGCAGAGAACGGCGACATCATCGCAGAGGTACCAGGCCTTCCTGCCCATCCCCTCCTTGTGCATGAGCCACAGGGCGGGGGCCAGGCTCGAGACAGGGACACCTCCTGTAATTCAGCTCCTGGGGGAAAGGCGGGGGGGCCTGATAGGACCCCGGGGGTGTTGTGCCAACGGCCTCACTGGCAGCGTGTGACACAGGCGCCTCTGGTTGCCGTTCCTCTCGCTGCGGGGACGTAGCTGCCTGGGTGGGGTGGGGCACGGACCCCCGCACACAGCCAGTTGATGCTGTGGCATCCGGGGAGCGGCTGCGTGTTGGGGAGGCTGTGATTTGTCGTAGCCCAGGTGGGACTGGGGACAGGCATGTGAGCCCTTCTCTCATGGGGTCTTGGGAGAAGGGCCAGGTGGCCAGCGGCACCATTCTCATGTCTTGCGTGAGTAACATTAACCCAGGCCCCTGGCCGTCCCGACCCCCTGAATCACACACGGAGGCACACGCACACGGGCGCTCACGCGCACCGCCCCCCGACTGCCTGGCTTCTCTCGCCGTTGCAGGAGCAGCAGCGGATCCTGGACCTGGGCATCACGGGCCCCGAGGGACATGTGCTGAGCCGGCCCGAGGAGGTGAGCGTCTGCTGAGTGGAACGCATGTCCCTGTGTCCCCTGGGCTGCCAGAGCCGCGCAGAGCCCCTCCTGCCTATCGAGGTGGGGCTCCTCCGGTGCTGACTCAGGGTCCTCCGAGAAGCACAGGTTGCCCGCGTGCATCTGCTCAGGCAAAGCGAGGGGTGAGCCCGAGCCGTGGGATGTGGCCGTGTGCTGCTCAGCTCGAAGCCGCCCCGCTCTGTCTCTCACTCTCCAGCCCGCCCTGGGGAGACGCAGGCAGCGTATTATCAGCATCCTGTAATCTGGGTTCCGTGGTTCTTCGCTGGGGGCCTCCAAAATCTCACCAGTCACCGAGACATAGTCATGGAGATCTAGCACTTCCCAATGTCAAAAAAGCACAAGGGAATCGTACGTTTCCCCTCGGTACGTCTGCACAGGGCCATCAGCAGGGTTTGGCAGATGGAATCTTTGAAAATCGGGGCAAGGAAACGAAGAGCAGGGGCCATTGCTGGCGCGGAGGGGGAGGCTTGCGAGTTGCAAGGGGCTGCCCACATTGTGCGTGAGGGAGAATCTGCTTTTTTAAAAGCAGAATTTGTGACCTTCATTGCTTCTCAGAGTTGGCTCATTAAGGAAAGGTTCCAGGTCAGCCAGCGTTTGAGGACCAGTGGCTCTGGGCCAAGAGGACGCTGGGGCTTCTCCTGAGAACTGACAGACTTTCTCGCTGCTGGAAATAAGTAATAAAAAAGGGACAGGTGCAGAGATGGGCAGGTGAAGTCATCAAGCGACTGGATGTCAGCCTAAAATCAGGATTTTCCCTCCAGAAACAGGTGGAGAGAGATGCTTGACAAGAGTATGAGTGGGAGCAGGGCCCCCCACCTCAGAACTTCAGAGCGGGGACGGTCCCGCCGAGTCGGGAAGTGTGCGCCTGAGGGCCCGCGGGGTGCAGGGGTCTGCTCCCCAGAAGGGAACGGGTTCGCAAGGGCTGCATTGAAGGAGCCGTCCACGGCTGCCTGCGGTGGGTGGGTCGGGGTGGCACACGCCCGCCACCCTTTTTCTCTCAGGCTTTGGGGCTGTGGTGAGGCTGGAAAAGCACAAAACGTACGGCGGAAAAACGCGGAGGTGGAAGCCGCTTGCAACGTCGAGCATTGCACTTCCTGCTGCAAACTCACTCACACAGCCACACGGCCAGTCACACCCTTAGAGAGAGACACACAGAGGACCCCCCCCCCCCCAACGTGGATACATACACAGATGCACAGGCACTGACGCACACAGATATACAGACAGTCGCAGACACGCAGGCACGCACACGCTGGGGCACCATCAGCACCGCCCGAAGCCCTGAGGACATTTTCCTCTCCCCACCTGAAAGGATGGAAGCTATTGACGTTCAGTGTTGTGTGTTCCCCTTCAGCCATGGGGTAGAGGTTCTTTCATGACCACCTAGCCTCCCGCGCGTGCCACAAAGCTGGAGGCGTGAGCCAGAGCCAGCACGAGGGGCAGGGCGGCGGAAGGGAGTGCCTGAGGCCCCTGCGTTAGCCGTGGGGAGCCCGTGCAGTGCCGGGCTGGTGGACAGTGATTCGGGGAGGCTGCTTGTAGGAGTGGGGGGAGGCAGGCTCAGTAGCTGATGCTAAGGGCGCCCGGGGCTGGTTTTATGCACAGATGTGCACACACACGCACACGTTTGCACATGTACACAGGAGCCCCAGCTCTGCATCAAGCCAGTGGGCCCATGTGACCGACTGCTGGCGCCTGGGCTGCGTTTCATTACAAAGTTTCCTTTCACCTTCATCCACTTGGCTGGCTGAGGAGCTGCACCTACCTGTTCAACTAACCGTACAGGTGGCCGAAGATGCTGGCTGTGAGACAGCACATGCCACTCGCCCTGGTACATGGGCTATTTCTGTGCTTGTTTAAATTTAGAGTCTTTGTGGGGCTTGCTTCCTGCTCTGCCCTGCTGTCTGCTCTGCACCCCCAGATCCTTGCTAACCCCACAACAGAACGCAAAGCCCGCCCTGGGTTCCCTGAACAGGCGGAAGCTATCAGAGGAGCGTGGTTCCACAAGTCTGTCTGATGGACACAAGAGACTCCTGGTAGCAGCTGTTGCTTTGAGGATTTCAGGATTCATAGCAGTGGGTGACGATGCCTCCTTTGGGGCGGGCAGATCCCAGAACGCTCTGATGTGGCAGCTCTTGGCTCCTTGGAGGGCCCTCTGGCCTCGTGAGGGGATGCTGGTGGGGGCTTTCTCTCCCGCCTGCTTTCCCAGGCCCTCCTTAGTTTGGCTGATCACTGGCACCTGCTCCCTGCCAGGTACAGGACGTGTGTGTCCCATGGCACGCTGTCAGCCCCCAGGCTCCCCCGGCACCTTCGCCGGGGATGATTTTCAGTTTGTCGCCAGGGATCTGTTGTGTATTAAGCCCTCCATGAGCGATAAAGAAAATAAAATATGGAACCATCCTGGGGAACTTGAGCTTCACAGCTCGGTCAGGGGGATGCTGCCAACAGCACGCGGCCGTGGAGAACCTCCGGACGCGCAGCTCCTGTGCATTTGGTGACCTGCCATCAGTGCCAGGTGGTTTGCCTGCCTGGAGCCACAGGGCATGCTCCCTGCCGCTCCCCGCTGCTCCTTCTGACCCGGCGGGGAGGCTCCGGCAGATTTCCCCAGTCTGCGGCTGAGAAGGTTGAAACGGAGGCGCAGAGAATGCAGACATCTAGAGACCACCCGTCCATTGGGGCGCTGCGCACGCCCGTGGCAGGCCCTGCGGGGGTGTGGGGGGAGGAGGAAGCGGCCCCTCAGAAAGGGGGAAGGGGATTCTGGGAAGTGACAGGGCAGGACCAGGGTGACGGGCTCTGAGTGTCTCAGGGAGGAGATGGGGGACGTGGGGGCGAGGGTGATGAAGAATTCTCCGCTGGGAAGGAACTCCTGGTGGCTTGTGGGAAAGGGCGACCGGACCCGCAGGCGGCGGGGACCGAGCCACTAGCCGCCTGCTGGCACTGGCACTGCTGCGTGTGCTCGCTGTCGTCATGGCACCGGCATGTACACGGACACTGTGTGTTCCTCTACAGTTTTCTTTCCTCTCAGATCTTGGGGTACGTCATCTTTAAAATCAGAAAGCAGGGCTAGATGACCCCCCAAAGCCCTGAGACCTCCATAATGAGGCAAATAAATGTTTTAATTTTTAACTGACACTACTCTCATAATGTTTTGAAGCAGCAGTATTTAAGGCCATGCTCAGTGTGTGTAAGACGGTGCATGCTGCACGTCACAGGCACACGCCTGTCCACACGGGGTACGATGTGATCCTCCTGTGGTTCTGGGTGCAGCTGGAGAGCTGGGGTTTAGTTGTCCTTCTCTCTCCACGAGGCGACCTCATCGCATGGCCTCGGCCTGCACCCCAGGCTGAGCGGGGCCAGGGCCGGCCAGGGGTCAGAACGGCGCGTGGTGAGCGCAGCCAGACAGGGCCCTGGGCCCCCGCTCCCCGCGGGAGCCCGTGCTCTGGGGTGGGCCCTGCTGGAGCTGGCGCTTGTGCTCCGCTCGCTCCCTCGTTAGGACGATTGCACAATCCAGTCCCAGGATAGCCCGGCCCCCGCCTGTTGCTCCCACGCAGTTATGGATGGTGCCTCTGTTCACTTTCAAAGCATCTGGGTTGGGACTGTACCTTGGGGTCACTGGCACCTCTGGGAAGTGATGAGGATTCTAGGGGTGTCCTTTTTACTCTTCACTCTGTGGCCCTCTGGGGTGACCGCAGCAGGGATGCAGGACATTTGTCCTCTGTGCTGCCCGGGCCAGAGGCCATTTGGTTGTACCCGGAGCTGAGGGGAGAGAGCGCTGATCATCCAGCTATTCCAGGAATTAAAAACATTTGGATGTTTAGTGAGCTTTTTCAAGAGCCATTTGGTTTGCCTTTAAGTTTCTAGACGTCTCTCTTCACATATTTGATGCATGGAAGGGCAAATGTGAATGAAGTTGTCTTAGTTGATTAAGTTAGATTACCAGCTAATGCAATTACAGAGCTTCAGCTCTCGGCTGAGCTCCTGTAGAGACTCGGTGGCTGAGACGATGCAGTTGGGAGTGCCATCGTTTCTTGTGAAAAATCCCAGCTCTCTGGAACAGCCTAGCTTTAGCCATCGACATAAAGTGAAGTCATTTATTAGTGCAGTAAACATTCCGAGCACCTGCTGTGTCCGTGGCATCACCCTGGGGTCTCTGGAGGCTGAGCAGTGGAGGATGCAGAAGAGCGAGTAGGACCCATCCCCTGGCCTCACAGAGCTGAGACCACGGCCTTTTGCCCGAGTGTGGGAGGGAGCGCCAGCCCTTTTGAGATTTGTCGTCTCCACAGTGTTACTTGCATTTCCAGCTGCCCATTCCAAGCTCACATGGCCGATTCCTCTGTGAGACAGGACTTGTTCTAAGTCATCTTGCCTGATCGAACGTTGAGCAGTCAGCACATGGGGTCTTTGAAATCTCGTCCATTGACACATCGCATTTAAAGAATCAGATTAGTAATTAGGGCAGCTCTTGCCCATCTCGTGCTGAAGGTCGTACCCATCTGTGGCTGGCTGTGGCAAACAGAGGGCCTTTGGTTTGCACAAACGCTGTGCCTCCGTCCCAGAGCCCTGTGAGTCCTCATTGTCGCCTGGGTGGTGCTGGCTTCCTCTGTGGGCGTCGACGGAAGCTCAGCACTAAAGGCCTTGGCTCAAGACTGCACAACTGGAGTGAATGCACTCAAATTGGGAGTGGGGTTTTGGTGCACGTGGTTCTCAAACGTTGGCAAGCACGAAAACCACCCAGAGTGGTGAGCACCCGTATTTCTGAGTCCCGCCTCCAAGAGGTACTGACCCTGGGGGTCTGGGGCAGGGCCCGGGAATCTGCATTTCTCACAGACTCCAGGCTGATGCCGCCACCCCGGGCCTGGCGGCCACACTTAGGGCCACTCAGAGGGGACAGAGAGGAATGTCCCCTCACCTCGCTTGATATGAGTGACGCTGGGCAGGGCACATCTCTCTCTGCAGTGCCACTCCGGGCAGGACCCTGGGGACACGGGTCTGCCATTCACCTTGCCTTTCCTGTGGGGTGGAGGTGAGTGTGGGCTTGTTCACTGGGGCAGTTCTCATGTTCAGATGCTCTTGTGCAGGTCGAAGCTGAAGCCGTGAATCGTTCAATTACCATCGCCAACCAGACCAACTGCCCCCTGTACATCACCAAGGTGATGAGCAAGAGCGCGGCCGAAGTCATCGCCCAGGCCCGGAAAAAGGGTAAGTGCTACCGGCTGTCTGACTGCGGTGGGGTCGGGAGGGAGGAGGGCTCCTTTTCCAGACCCCCATGCCAAGTGGTCTGCTTTCACCACGTTCCAGCATTAACCTAATTACAGCTGAGTGAGGCAGGCAGCTCCAGTTTCTCCCGCTGTTCCACTGCTGCGGCCCTGTTCGCATCTATTTAAAGCCAAGCACAGCAAAGACTGGGTGGGAGGCATGTTTTCCTCCTGCTCCCCTTCTGTAGAAAGGTTGGACTTAATCTGATGCAGTCTAAATAAAGTAGGCCCATAGACAGATGACGTCAGTTTCCATCTGCCGCAGAATCATCTTTCTGGGGAACTTTGTATTACAAAATGCATTTCCTCTCGGGGCTGGTAGTGATTTCCGCTGGGTAAGAGCCGCTGTGGCGCGGGGCATGTCTCCACGGATGTGTCTTGGTGTCTTGTCCAGTGCTCCTGGTGCGCAAGTCGCTCCCTGTTCATTACACATGTATGTTCTGAACTGAGGCTGGCTCGCCTGTTACTGGGAGACCATCGAGGAGGTTCCTGGGAACTCATTTGCTAAGTGCGGCTTCCAGAGGCTGTTCCGTGGGCACCTCATCCATTATGGATGCAGCGGAGCCGGCCTGCAAGCTGCCCTTGGCAGTGAGGTTGGATAATCACACCACGTGCTCTGTGCTTGGGAGTGGAGCTTTCATGCCCACGGAGACTGATCCCGCACCGTGGACGCGGTGGGCGGCTGTCGGCCTGATGTGACCAGGAATGTCATGAGGCGTCCTTTGTCTGCCTCTCCCTTCATCCTTGCTTCCTCTCTGGATCTTTCCAATGCTGTATTTCTCCATTTCTCTTACTTCTTGTTCTGTTCCTCTCTCCATCTCTCTGTCTCCATCTCTCTGTCTCCATTTCTCTCTGTATCTCTACTTGGTCTCTCTTTCTCAGGCCCCCGTCCCTTTATCTCTCTCAGCATCCCTCTTTCTCTGATAAAAAGGGAGCAGTTTGACTTCTAGTTCAGTTTCTACTTCTCCGTGGGCTGGGGTCCACATGGATGAGGACTAGGGTTTCTTCACTGACGGGTGATGTGGGCAAGACCTAGATCAAACTGTTCCGTGACCACTGAGTCGGCTGGTCTGGGAGAGGGTGGCTTCCAGGTGGCCCTGTTCCTCAGAGCTGGGGCCTCTGTCCACAGGCTTCAGAGCAAGCAGGGTGGCTGCGTTGCTATCTTCCTGGAAGCCTGTCCTCTCCTGGGGCCTGAAAGGTCTTGTGTTTTGGAAATGAGACAACATTCCCCTGAAATAACATCACCTGCTCAGAATCGGCTGTGAGTTGTTTCTCGGAGCCATTGTGGATGATGACTGTGAACAACCCTCGTCACCTGGGCCTCTGTCACCTAAGCACCCATGTGTCATATGGCTGGCACGTGGGAGTCAGCCTAGCTCCCAACGTTAGTCACAGCCACTGCTTCTGCGTAGCGTGGGGACGTGGGCGTAGTGTCTGAAAAGGGGAGGAGGGTGCCGCTTCTGTTACTTGTTTTAACAACCATACCGTACCCGGAGGATCATAGGAAACAAAACGTTGAACGTTTAATGTAATTTCAGTATACTTAGGCATACAATTTAATATCATTTAAAAATGATACTATGATAAAATGAGGCCTTGCTCTTGCAGTCAGCCTCTGACGTGCCCAGACTGGAGGACGGAGGAGTCGGGCCTCTGACCAGACCCGGCCCAAGCAGGTGGAGCCGGCCCTGGTCTGTCTGCAGAGCGCGGGGCTCTGGGCCGGCCCTGCTTGGTGTGCTGGAGGTCCTTCGCCTTTCTGTGCCTCAGTTTCCCTACTTGGAGATGTGGAGCTGGAGCAGGTTGTTCTACAAACCAGCCCTGTTCTGAGACTCTGTGACTTGGGGCCTGATGACGTCCCTCTGCTGTCTCTGTGACTTTAGCCTTGTGAGAGTGTCATGCATGGGTGTGAAGAAGGGACTGCTTCAGTCTGTTTGTTCCAGAGCCTTCCAGGTGTGAGTCCTGACTGCGCCCTCAGCCTGGGTCCTGGGGTGGCTCTTTTTCACACTCTCGCTCACTCTAGTCCTTGAAAGCCTTTGCTTTAGAGGAGCCTGAGCTGCTGGGAAATTTCCAGCGCTTTCAGATGCTTCCGAGGAAGAACAAGGGATCCTAGCTGGCTTCGTAGGCTCTAAGACTGCTCTCTGTCCCGTTGGAACTTCCATAGACACTCTCTGTCCCGTTGGAACTTCATAACGATGGTGGGAGGTGGCTCCGGTAGGGAGTTTTGTACGTTGTTTTGCTTAGCGGCTGAGTACACTGAACCTCAGAGCTGGTGAGGGGTGGAACTGAGCTTGGATTGTGCGCCTCTGACGTCAGGCCAGACTACCTGTGTGACTGTCCCACTTCGTGCTATGAGTTTATTTTAATATAAGCAATGTGACCGTCCTCTTGTCGGCATCTGTTGGGGTTTAGTTCCTCAGCCAAGCTGGTATAACTGAAGCCGGACCCCCAGCACAGTCATGGAGAATGTGGGCTGAGGAGAAAAGCACTATAAGGCCGTATTCAGCGTTAGCATTCTGGGATCGATAACCTGTCCTGGATCCAATGCCAGGTCTGCTGTGCACTCGCACGCGAGGCTGGGCCGGTTTGTAGTTTGTTGTTCTCGAGGTGTTGTTTTCCCACCTGCACAGGGAGGGGGAGGTCACAGCGACTCATCACACAGGGTGATGGCGATGCTTGAGTGAGATGCCGTTCATCCAGGTGCAGGTAATAACTGTGCCTACTGCCGTCGTGATTCATGTCTGCGGGGCTGGTAGGAACGGCGCAGGGCAGACGCCTGCCGACCCAGGGCAGGGGGCTCTGCTGAGAGTTCTTTTCTTGGTGGGTTCTTCTGGCCCCTGGAGGCACCTGTGAGACCAGCTTCCTGCTTTTCCTGTTCTTCATCTATAAATGGGAGAGACTTTTCATTCATTCAAGAGCCTCTACCATTTACTTCTACTATGTGATACTTCAAGTGCTCTGTGCTGCTGACCAGACATGGTCCCAGCGCTCTGCTCCTTCTGCAGCCGGGGAGGGACACAGCGGAGTCACGATGGCGAGGGGTCAGCGTCACCTAACAGGTGCGGCCAGGTGTGGGGAGCGCATGGAGGGAGGTGCCAGTGTTCACAGTCACGCCTGCCAGCCTTGGGCTGTGTGAGAGGGCTCTCCGCGCCCTGCCCAGGGGGCTGTTGAAGAACCACAAACCTGCATCTTCTTCTCTTCTCTTATTGAACCTGCTGTGCAGTCCCCATGCAGAGGCTGCTGGTCCTAAATCTAATGGGGTGCTTGGGTACACCAGGGCATGAGATGAGATATACGCGAATGAGAACTCCACACGCCCGCCGGCCGCCACGACCGCGGGCCTCCCGCAGACGCAGCCTGGCCCCGCCGCCTCCTCCAGCGGCGCCACCCGGACCGCAGCTGGTCGGCGGCCCTGTTCTTCAGAGAAGGAGGTGAGAACACAGCCTGGACTGGAACGCCTGGAGCAGTTTTTACTCTTCATAGGACGCAAACATTGGTGGATTTCTTAGGCTTGCATGAAAGAGAAGCTGAAATGTAGAAATTGCCCTTCTGATCATGCAGCCCTTGAGAAATAGCACCCAGCATTTGAGACACCCAGCCAGCCTGCTTTCCACTGAGGGTCCCGGGGGGAGCCTCTCTCAGGCTGCCTGTTGTCCGTGTGTGAAGCCCAGCGTGGCCGCCGCCGCCGCCGCCTGTGTGTGGGTGGTAGTGCATGGGCAGTGAGTGCCTGCCCTTCCCCGGCGGACACCCTTGTCCTCCCTCCCGTTACCGGACGGGGGCCTGGCCCGGAGGGTCTGCCGGGGGCCAGCTGTCGTGCGTGGGTTCTTGACTTCATGAGGGAAACATTTCACAGCATGAGTCTCGGTGACTGTGAGGGTATGTTTATTAAGGCTGCGGACAGTGAGACAAAGGAAGGGCTTAGCATAGGAGAAGCCACAGGAGAGCCCAGGCTGGGCTGCCTTAGCCCACTGGGAAGTCAGAGAAGAGGGGGCCTTGGGGACATGTTCAGGGGGTCAGCCTGGGACTAGCTGCTGCTGCCCATTGCCTTTGAGTTTAGGAGGCTCGGGAAGGAAGCGGGGGAGGAGGGCGGGAAAGGCAGAGGCTGCTCCCCAGAGGGAGAGCTCGTGCCCGCTGACTGGGTCCTTTGTCTGCAGGCTTTTATCTGCGGGAACCTTAGGGGAGGTCTCAGGGGAGGTCTCAGCAGAATATTCTTCGGTTCCCCAGGTGCGCCCCTTCAAGGTCCTGGTCTCCAGGGACTGGTCAGTGGCAGGGCAGAGGGGTCACTGGTCATTCATTGCACTTGGTCCTGGCTTCGCCTGCCTGGTTTTGCTGCTTTTCTGGGCCTGGAGCTGAAACATAATTGAGGCCTGGATGTTGTCTCCAGGGAGGAAAGGTGGGGGAGGACAGGTTACCCTGTGGGCCAGGCCTCTGTTTTCCTAGTTCTTCTGCCCTGGCCCTGGTGACCTTCTGTACCCGACTGTGAATTGCTCGGCCAGTCTGTTCAGCTCTCTGTCTCTGTGTCCCTGCCCCACTTGCCAAGGAACGCTCCTAGGTTCTCCCTCTCCTGTCTCACTCCTCCTCACTCACCCCTCACCCAGAGGCAGAAATGTCCAAAACATCTGGCGGCTGCTGAGGGACACTAAGCCCTGGGAACCCAAACCCAAGACCAGAGTTCCTTTGCCCTGCGGGTCAGTAGGAATGACTCAGGCGGGATGAGGTCATGGGGCCCTGAGGACCACGCCACCTTGCGGGGAATCCTTAGTGTTAAGCTGATGCACAGTCTAGCAGGCCTGGACCTCAAGAGTCGCACATGGGTTGGCCTGTGCATGTCATAACGTCTCCCCAAAACCTGGGCCCTGGCAGGTCTGAAGTTCGCGGGGCGGGCCCCGGAGGCTTGGTGGGCATTGCGGCTGGAGCCTGGGGCTGTCCGGAGGCAGAAATTCCCGCCCGTCCAGGCCCTCACTTTAACAGCAGGCTCTGAGGGCTCGGGAAATCACTTTGCGCTGCGACACAGCCGCAGGCAGGATGGGAGCCTGGGTTTCGCTTCCAGCTGTTTGAACTGGGAGGCTCCTGCAGATAAGGGTGTCCCTCAGGGCCGGCAGGAACGGTGGAGTCACTTCGGGGTTGCTGATGCGGCACTTGGCCTGGGAGTTGGAATCCCTGAGCCCATCCTTTCCTTTCCCTGCTTTGTCCAGCGCAGTTAGGAACAACCAGCCAATCTCCTATTACTCAGTGTGACAAAAATGTTCTAAGCTATCAAGTACACGGTCAACCCAAACGTGGCGTCTTAGAACAAGTAGCAGGAGGACGCGGTGGTGGGGCTCGTTTGCACGTGGCCGTTGCCCCAGCATGACGGGGGCGCTCTCTTCACCCCTGGAAATGAGTCGTTAGTGCCTCCAAATCAAAATCAGGTTGGAGAGCTGATTCCAGAAAAGTTCTCTGAGAAGCCAGGCTGTCTCAGAGAACATTGACTCTTTTTCTGGAAACTTTCTTCGTAGCAAAATCTGACAGGATTACCCATGGGTAGGCCTGGCTGTTTGGCTCCGGCATGGACTCCGTGAAGGGGGGAGAGAGTCAGAGACAGACAGACAGACAGACAGAGACCCAGTCGGTGTTGTTGTGATTGTGTGTTAAAATATGTGTGCCTGATTTCCCATTGTTTCAACCCTGGACATGTCCTTCGCGTTCCTGGGGGCAGTCGCACATTCCTCGGCCCCAGCTGCCTGCTCCCCCTCCCTGCCCGCACGCCAGCCCTGGCCCCGGCCGTCCCTCGCCGTCCTAGAGAGCCTGCCAGCCTCCAGCCCAGTCACAGCCTGCAGCTCAGAGAAGAGAAGCAAATTGTGAAGGTCTGAACTCCACCAAGAACGCAGCAGCAGTGTGTTTGGAGGAGTGTGGAAAGGCCGATGGAGCCTATTCCATGGTTTATTATTATTAGTGGTAATTGTTTCTGGCCCACAGGCCAGTGGCGTCTGGCCCAGCTGAGGTTCGGAAGCGCATCCCCAGCTCGCTCCGGCACAGTGTGTGCAAGATGGGGAGAGGCACCCTGGCAGGTTGTGAGCCACTGGTGTGGGGGGACCCTCTCTCCCGCCCCGGGGTGAGGGCCTCCCCCAGGGTGGTAGCTCCTGTCCTGCCTTTGGGGGCTGAAGAAAAGGAATAAACCAAAAGACTGCAAGCACCTCAGAATCCCTTGGAGTCTGCGCAGGGCGAAGCAGAAAGAAGCCTCAGGAGGCCTCTCTCGCTTTCCAAGCGCCCGTCCCAGCGTGGCCCCTGCCCAGGAGTCCCGGCTCAGTCCGGGTCGAAGGAGGCAGGTCTGGTCAGCACTGGCCTCGGGGCTGACCTCCTCCTAGGTTTTCCAGGGGCTGGAGGGCGCATTCGCTCCTTTGTGGTGAGGTGTGCTCTGTGCGCCAGCCCCTCCCGGGACCGCAGTTGTGTTTCACAGGCTGAGACGGAGGCCACCGCAAAGGTGGCACCCAGGATCCCGAACCAGCCCCTCCTTGTCCTGAACTTTCCAGAGCAGGACTGAAGAGCAGACTCAGGCTAAGGATGAGCAATAAATAGCAAGTTACAGGAATGTCAGGAAACTCTTGATGCTTGTCTGAGGATTTTCAAAGAGCCGCAGGCTTTCTTCAAGTGGTTCTGTTCTCTTGGATTTTTTCATGTCAACAAAACTGGGAGATCTTTAGAGTTATGAGTCCTGAGCCCGTTGTTTTCCTAACGACTCGCACCAGCCCCACCCTTGTGCGGGGGGACCTGTAGACCTGGAAGGGCAGAGGAGCTGCCACCCCGAACCTGGGAGCCCATCCGAAGCAGGGAGCCGGGTCTGCTCAGCCACTTGCATTTTGTGACAGGCCCGGCCGCCCCGGGGCCTCTCATTACGGGTGCTCGTCCACGCTGGGGCGAGCGGGGGCCATTTGTGCGGCCGCCCAGCTGGCTCCGGAGACCCGTTCTGAGACCCGTTCTGCCTGGGAGGCTGCGAGTAGGTTCTGAACACGGGACCTTCCCAGTGAGTCTGAGCAGTGGCCCTTTTTCGCCTGGGGGCTTCCTTTGACGAGGCCCCCTCTGAGTGGGGAGCCCTCCCCCCAGCTTCTGGGTTGTTATGGTGTCCCCAAGTGAGCCGCCTGCCTGGCCAGAACGCTCCCTGGTTGGACATTCCTGAGGCTGGAGGGGAGAGCTGGGACTGCAGCAGAGAGGGTGTTGTGGGTTAGTATCTAGAGATAAGGCCTTGGAAAGGCTGTGGAGAGGGAAGGAGGCGCATTCCTGACCGAGCACCGAGGCCCTGTGTGTGGGGCGCCCAGAAGCCTGGAAGGACCACCGTGGGGTGCGGCGGGGAGGCGGGTGAAGTCCCGGTGCTGAGGCCGGCCTGACACCCCGTTCCAGCTGGCGCCTTTCCTTAACAGAAGGTTACACCCTTTAATCAACCTAACATGCATTTATTGAGTCCTACTATGTGCAGGCGGGTTCATTTTCTTCACATTATCTCCATCTAGTGGAGAAGCAAACACTTCAAAACAGGGTGGTTATTGGATTATTCAAGTGGAGGCCAGGTTTGAGTTTTGAATGATGTTCAGGGGAGGCCGGGGCAGTCAGGTGGCCGGACGCCGAAGGGTATCAGCTGGCAGGGAGGAGTTTGTCTTCGTCCTTGGAGGCAGAATGCCCCTTGGGCGGACTCTTGGCCAGGGAGCGGCCTGGGGAGGTCATGCTGTCAGCAGAGCACCCTCGGAGTGTCCCGGAGAGTGAATGGAGAGGTGGCGAAGGAGGCTGGGAGAGCAGAGGAGGTCTGAACTCCGACTGGGAGGCTGTGCGGGAACGAGCCGGGGGAAGTGACCAAGGCCGGGCCTCGGGCTGGTACGTGGAGGGCAGCGGAGGTCGTAGTTCAGACACTGAAGCATCGGCACTCGCTGGATAGCGGCGATCCCCACCTCTGTGGCCTGCCCATGAGTGGACAGAGGCAAGGACGTGACTTCAGCCTCAGGGAACAGATGTTCTTTCTTGACAATGTGTTAATTAAGTCTGACTAGTCCCTGGAAGCCCTCACGTCTCTGTAGTGTAACTGTGCAAGTCCTTTATTTCTCACTCAGCTGTGAGTCTGGTGGCGCTAGGGACCCCTCCCTTCCGGGGGACCCGGTTGTCGCTTGGGGCTATCTGCGTTTGCTCTCGACTGCTTCAGCCCCTTGATAGCATGTCTGATGTCCTCTTAGCTCATTAACCGGACAAGACACTGCGAAGGGGGCTGGGAAGTGTTGGGAGGGCAGGGGGAGGATTTGGAGAGCAGGAGGGTTCAGTCTGAGATGCTAGGGACCACCCAAAGTTGGGACTGGGTGCCGGGGTGCAGTCCGAGAGCCGTGCTGGGCTTGGGGGTCGGCAGTGTAGGAGGGGCCGCGTGGTGGACCCTCTGGAAGAGGGGCTGAGTCCGAACAGCAGGGTCCCGGGTGAACTCTTCAGGAGCACGTCGTGGATTGGTGACTTTGGTGGCCGAAGTGCTTGACCTCCTCAGGCATCGGCGTCCTTACCTGTGAGATGAGGCTGCCGCTGCTGTGTGGGGATGGCCAGAGCCCTGGACACGCTGCGGGGCGGTGGCTACTCCCAGCAGGCGTGGCTTCCTTTCTCCCTTGTGGCCTGACGCTCGGCTCTGTCATTGTTCCCCAGGAACCGTGGTGTACGGCGAGCCCATCACCGCCAGCTTGGGGACCGACGGCTCCCACTACTGGAGCAAGAACTGGGCCAAGGCCGCCGCCTTTGTCACCTCCCCGCCCCTGAGCCCTGACCCGACCACCCCGGACTTTCTTAACTCCCTGCTGTCCTGGTGAGTCTTGGCGACTTGCTCACACTTCCCGTTCTCAGTCTTTGCTCAGGTCCAGCGAGGCCTGGCGGGTTACACCATGGGCAAAAGCAGGTTTGCAGACAGACGGACAGACACTCATTCTGCACGCTCAGATCGCGGAATGGGGACAGAGGTTATCAGAATAAAAACCACCTTAAAAGTCACCCAAAGAGGACGAATGAGGGGTCAGAAGGCTCCCCCACGGTGCGGCAACACCCCTGATGCCTCACAGAACAGATTCGCCTCAGGGTCCTCTCCGGTTTTCCCAAATGTCCTATCTCCTGGCGGGAGGACGGGTTATTTCAAAAACTGTCGGGGGCCTGGCGCGCTCAAGAACAGCGCTCGGATCTGACGGTTTACCACCCCCTGGGTTTCCCTTGTAGTGGAGACCTGCAGGTGACCGGCAGTGCCCACTGCACTTTCAACACTGCCCAGAAGGCCGTGGGAAAAGACAACTTCACGCTGATCCCGGAGGGCACCAACGGCACCGAGGAGCGCATGTCCGTCGTCTGGGACAAGGCCGTGGTAAGGAGCCGCGGCCCCACACCGGCCGGGTCTCTGCCCTCCCCCACCGCCTCCCCCACGCGCCACGCGTCCCTGCCGCTTCCCCTTGAAATGGCAGTTGAGAAAATTGTAGAAGCTGGTACTTGTGTGACAACATTTCTTAGATTTGGGAATCCAAGACCACTCCTTATATAGGTCATTCCATATATATACATTATTATCATCTGCGATCAATGGAGACAGAAAAAACAAAACCCCACCCACAGGGAGTCTGTAGAATATGATTCTTTTGATCAGGTGAGAAAAAGCTTCTAGCGACCTGGCGACTTCCTCAGTTAATCTTCCGCTGGGGAAATGGATTCGGTTTCCTTACACGTGTTTTTTTAGGGCTCTCTGGGCTTAGCATTTCCACCCCGACCCTGAGGCGCCTGGTGGCTTTTCCATTTTCAGTGGTTTAAAATGATCACTGGACAGGTTTTCTGTTTCTTCATGAAGTTTTTCGATTATGCAGACAATATAGCCTTATTCCAGAGAGAGTGGAAGTGACTAAAAACTACTCATAACACCATCTTTCAGATTTAATGGAAACTCACATGTCAGCCAGATGTCTGTCCCTCCTTTGCCAGTGCAAGAGTGCACGTGTGTATGTGATATGTATGTGTGAGTGTGTCAGTAACATGGCCTCATACACAGTGTTTGGTGGCCTGTTTCATTAAGATGATAGATCATGAAGAGGTCCCCACATCCTTAAATATACTTCAAACACTTGTTTGTTTTTTTTTATAGCAGACGGTTCCATTTTAATGCTGAACTGTAATTCATCTGCACTTCTTTAAACACTTATGTTGTCTCTGATTTTTTTCCATGTAGGAAAAGTTGTTTATTTCTGTTTTGATGGTAGTTGCGTGCTAACTGCATAAGTGGTCTTGAAGCTGATTTTTAATTGCATGTTTGTAAGTTGAGAAATTGGATATGCCGTTTAAGTGGAAATTCTTTTCCACCGTGACTGAGAAGTCACACCTGCTGTGGAATTTTAGTTTCTTCACACTGAACCCAAAGAATTGGATTACGGAAGCCCTGGGTGACGTGAAAGCGGAAGCAGCGTGCGACTCTAACGCTGCCGGGCACTTGTACGTCTTAACATCACCAAGCAAAATGTTCCTCAGTGGTGATACCTGTGAACAGTGAAATAGAGTTTTAAAATCACACTGAATTCCACGTCGACAAAGCAGCCCGTCCCACGCAGCGGGGGACGCGGGCGGCCTCCCCGGGCTGGCCAGGCACAGGCCACCGGCCGATCCGGCCTTCGTCCCCACACGCAGCCTGGCGTCGTTCTTCCTGCTTTTGTTACGGGATGAACCACCTCAGACTCGTCCTTCGCTGTGCTCCTAGGACAATTTCTAGAAGTGGTATTGCTGGGTCAAAGGGTGTGTGTATTTTTTAGGCCTTTGCTGTGTATCTGGTCAGAGTTACTTCCAAAAAGGTTGTATCCATTCGCATGCTGCCAGCAGCGTGTGACAACCCCCAGGTACTTCTGCCAGGTCCTATTTGGGGTTACCACCAACCCCCCAAAATGGCGCTGATTTGATTGGTGAATTTTGTTGTATGACATTCAGTCCTTTCAGTGACGGATGGGAGTGAATATTTTTTTCATGTGCTCACGCGCCACAGCTGTTTTTCTCTGAATACCAGCCCATTTCCTTTGCCCGGTTTTCTACTGGCTGCAGAGGGGCCTCCGAACTCAGAGATGCGCAGTCACACCTCAGACTCCACCCGTAAAGGGACATGAAGCCCAAGTGGCAGAGACGGGAAAGCACAGGAGGGACGTGGGGCGGCGCAGTCGGCGCCTGCGGCCGCAGAAGCCCAAACACAGGGCTGGGATGTGCGGGGGCTGGAGCGGAGCCTGGGTCTGCGCCCGTGTCCTTGAAAAGCCCAGGCAGCCACTCGGTCCTGGTGATGTTTCCTAAAGAGGCATGGCAGCCCGACGGCTTTATTTTATTTTATTTTTTTATTAGATGAGACCCATTTTCCACCACAGCTGCACATCACGTGATCATAGTAAGACGTGCAGACGCGGAGATGGACGGTGGTGCGTGTGTGTGTCTGTGGCATTGTGTCCTGCGTGACTCACAGAGCCACCACCGCAGACCAGAGACGGGCGCCCTCTGTCACCCCAGAGACCCTGCTCGCGCCGCCGCCCCTTGGAACCGCGCCCCCAGCCCCGGGCCGACCTCTGCGTCACTCCTGGCCTGCCCTCTGTCTCTGTGGCTTTGTCATGTTGGGGATGTTTGCACAGACGAGGCCATGCAGTAGGCGCCCTGCTGAGATGGGCCGTTTCGCTCAGCACAGTGGCCTCACGTCCGTCTACGTTGTATGTGCCAAAAGCGTGCTCACTGTTGGTGCTGAGCCGTGTTCCAGCCTTCAGCTGTCTGACCTGTCTTCGGTGTGTGTGTGTGTGTGCGTGCTGTACCCTTCAGGTCACTGGGAAGATGGACGAGAACCAGTTTGTGGCCGTGACCAGCACCAACGCAGCCAAAGTCTTCAACCTTTACCCCCGGAAGGGCCGCATTGCTGTGGGATCCGACGCCGACCTGGTCATCTGGGACCCCGACAGCGTGAAAACCATCTCCGCCAAGACCCACAACAGCGTAAGGCCTGTTACCTGCGCGGGCCCGGTCAAACGAATCGGTCACAGAAAGGGACCGAGGCATGGAGAGTCCCCGGGGTTCATGGAAAGAACTTGCTGTGGTGGGAACAGACTTTTCCCCAGGACAATTATAACTTGCAATTTGCTGAGGAAAAAAAAACTTCTTTTCTTTAGAGAGGTCAATAAGACAGACAATAAGGTACTCTTACTGTTTTGGGGTAACAGAGCCTCTCTTAGAGATAGAGGTCTCTATGTATAGGCCTTCAGAGCCTCCAAAGTCATGCCAGGACCTTAGAAGCTTCTAGAAGTTGGGCAGCATTCCATTTTTATAGAGGAGTTTGGTGCAACTCCTTCCCCGAGCGCTCGGTGCAGGGACCGAAGCGCGCACCCTCTGGGCGCGTTGATTCTTTTAAGCCATTGTTTTCTCATGTCATGGTCACAACAGACGTGCTTACTGTCCCCAAGGAATAATCGACTTTGACTTCTCCCCAGAGAGAGGAGAAATGCCCCCATAGCCTTCTGGCAGGGTTTTAGGGGCTGGAGTTTCGGGGTATCTCACCCGTTATTTTAGATTGCAGGGTTTGGGGTTGGCCTGTCTGGTTAACGGGACCCTGGGCCGTGACTTCGCGTCGCACATCAGGCTCCCCGGCGGAGCAGGCGGGATGCAGATGAGGTCCCTGAAGGTCCTGTGGCTCAGCGAGGTCCGGGCCGTGAGGCGGAGGGGTTAGATGCCTCTGAAAAGCCCTGTGCGTGTGTACGTACAGCTGCGCCTGACTCTCTGTACAGATACAATATGGAAGAAATGCAGACAAAGGGGGAGCTTTGGAAAAGGAATGGGCATAAGACACAAGTGTTTTGTCAGAAACTCATGAATCTTGAAGTGAATTCTCTAACCGAGGAGGATATTCTAGATCAAGTTCTGAATTGAAAGCTGGCCCAGTAGGGAATCCGAGTCTGGGCTGCCCACCCTGTGAGCCCGGGCCAGCAGAGCGGCCGCCTCCCCGGCACCAGGGACGCGCGGGGCTGGGCGTCAGGCGCTGTTCCAGGACGGCCCCGGGGCCCTCGGCCGCCCTGGCGCCCTCCCGCGAGCTGGGGGTGGAGGTGCGGGGCTCACCGCTGGCTTCTGCTGGCCCCTGTGGGTGCCTGCCGGGGTGGCCGCTCAGCTCTCAGTGTTTATCCAGAGCTGACTCTTTCCCTCCTCTCCCACGGGCCAGCGTAGCTGCGCAGCACAGCCTTACGGCCACTCTAACTTGTCACCTAGATCACGACGTCTTGGAGTCCTGGGTGGCTTCTTTATGGGCCTGGGGTCCTGCCCAGCGGACCCCCTGTATTCACACGCATTCAGCATCACACTCGCTCCTGTGTACCCCTTCGTTCGTCCTTTTCAGTAAAGGGATGGTGGTGGTCTCCCAGCGGGGAGGATGCATGAACGGAGGCCCCGAGAGCTCAGTCTAACGTTACATAGCTGTTTTGCGGTAGAGCCAGAATTAGAACCTGAAATTGTCCAGGGCTCCATCTTGGCAGACTGTGCGTGCAGCCTCGGGGCCAGAGCCAGGGCCAGGGCCAGGGCCAGGTGGGGGGACGCAAAGCCCTTCCCGCAGAGGTGCCATAAAGGGGGAGCTAGGCCCGTTATTTCAGCTGCGACGACCTAGCGAGGGAGCTCGCGTTCGGAGCCCTGACCTGGTGGAAGAGAGGCTGGGCGGGGCGGTGAGGGGAGAAGACGGCGCCTGCCGCGCAGACCGCGCACCCGAACTTCTCCGGGGCGCTGGCACTGCCCTCCCTTCACCTCCGCGCAGCTGCGTTGCAGGCCTGCTGACTTCCTAAAGTGCCTCTCTGTCCTCACCTGTTTGTTCGGAGGAGCCCATGCTGAGCATGCCCGTGCGGCGTTCGTCATTTGGGAGCATACAAACGGGAGCTGTGCCGTGTAGCAGAGTGTTTCTACCACGGTGCTAATTAGTTTTAATTTGGAGCATTTAGCTGATTGTTATTGACAGCCGGTTGCTAAGCCTCTGCTTGGCTTTTCCTGGCATCCCGCCTGGTGAGTAATTTTAGGGGCCCGTGTGGATGTAGGTTAAAAATGTCTCTACCTGGTGGGTGATATGGCCCGCCACCTCACGGTGGGACAGAGGGTGGGCTCTGAGCCGGAGGAGCTGTGATCTGACCACTGGACTTGCTGATTTTAAGTCACTTAGAGTCACGGGACTGGTTCTTCCATCTTCTCCGAATGGGAATGGACCTGAAGCTCCCATGGGGTTTGTGCTCAGCCCTTCACAGGCGTTTAGACTCTGTCTCTTATGATGCCTTTGACACTGAAGGACTTGCAATTGTGTTGGGAAAGGGCAGTAAATAACCAGAGAGCAGATGAGTGAATGCTGCTAAATGCCTACTTTCATTTCTTGTGATCCCAGCGCCATGCCTGGGAGGAGGCCGTTTCCTCTCGCGAACAGAGAGGGAAACTGCGGCTCAGAGGAGAGTGCTGGGCTGCTCCAGCGTCACGTGGCTGGCAGGGGCAGGGCTGGGGGACGCAGCCAAGGCGATGGCGTGGTGCCCGAGGTTGTCGCCACTGCTCAGGGGGGCGCCGGGCGGTTGGTGAGGACACGGGCAGTTAGCTGTGCCGTGGCGTGGCAGGGGTGGGGCTTGGTCCAGCTGCTGGCCGGCGGCAGGCGCCCTTTTGAAGGTCACTGCAGAGCTGACAGACTTCTCTCACAAGATCGACCTGCAGAAGATGCTTTTGCTGTTGTCATTCGTCACAAAGCCTTGGGAGGGAGGTGGCTGAAGACAGTGAAGTTCTGAGGCAGGACTTAAGTGATCTGCCCATGCCCCACAGCCCCGAGTTACACCAAGTCTAAGATGCCCTTGACGTTCAGATACTTATTAGTTTATGTGCCACCATGAAGGGGAAACAGCCGAGATGAGGAAGGTAAGAGGAGAGGCCTGTGAAGATCCGCTGCGACACCGAGGGCCAGCTGTGCGTGGCGTAGGGTGCGTGGCGAGCGGTGCCGTGTGTCTGCCGTGTAGGACACGGTGGCAAATGGCTTGTGAGCCTTGACTTTGGCTTTGGATACAGAGAGGACCAGTGCCTCCTTGGAGAATGTGAACTGGAAGCTGGTGCTCCTGCAAGGTGGAGGTCGGAGTTCCTGCTGCCAGCCGGGTGCAGAAAAACCCGAAGCTGAGAGCTGGGTGTCCAGCGACTCAGTGTGATCGCCCGCTGGGCCAGAGGGAGCAGCAAACCCCAGTCCTCCTGGGAGAACCCCCCTTGGTTCCGTCTGCACGGACAGTGGCTGACTGCGCGGGTCCGTCTGCTGTAAGACACATTCTGACTTCAGGGGAGAGTGTCTTGGAATCGGAGAAAGACTTGGGGACACACACGGGTCCCGGGAATCCCAGGTAGAGGCCCTCCCCTCCTCCCGGGCGCCTCTCCGCCTTGCTCCTCGAGGCCACGGCAGAACCGACAGCCCCTCAGTGCTGCTTTCCGTCAGCACCGCTGCACTTGGGCACCGAACGTGCCCAAAGAGCCGGCCGGGGCTTCTCCATGCTCACCCGCCAGGGCCCTGTGCAGAGGTGCTCATCTCTGTGCACCGGTCTGCATGCCCCAGAGGCCCAAGCTGCTTTTTACAGTTAGAGCTGGATGTTAACGCTCCATTCCTGGGCACAGCACCAACATTGGCGTCATGGACAGGCAGGCAGGAGGCAGCAGGAGGCCTTTGGGAATCCGGGGATCGCCCCGGGCGAGCGGGGCTGACGGCGTGAGCCCGGCGCGTGGAGTTTTTCTGTTGCGCACGGTGCCCCTCCCTGCGGTGCCTTGTTCCCCCACATGTTCTCCAAGAGGGCGAGCAGATACACCGCCACCCTTTCACCCCGAGAAGCTCGAAACCAAAAGGACCGCTGCGTGGTTGGGAAATTAACTAAACCTCAAACATCTTCTGAAGGCAAGCCTCTTAAATTACCACAGTCCTTTCATTTAGAGACTTCAGTTTAACGACGTCGCTCACAGATGGGAAAGCCAGGCAAACCAGGGGGAAGCCTACTTGTGCATGGCCCGTTTCAAGGTTAAGTTTAGAGCTCAGTCACAGGAGGCCTTTGCATTTGAACCTGATTGGAGCTTGAGTTAGTGAGGACAAAGTCACTGCTAACGTCCAGAATCCTTTTCTTATTATCTTTGTGTAGCATTTACAAATCCTCACGCTTTTCAGTGGGAAAAGATGATTCCATGCTCTACGGGTGTGGTCCGTGGGGACAGGGACCCCAGCCCTGGGCCTTCCTTGTGTCCGTGTGATGTTGCGCAGTGGGGGCTACCAGTCTGGGTAACTCTAGCCAGGTGGCATACCCTGACCTAGTCTGTGTCCCCTCCTCCAGGCGCTCGAGTACAACATTTTCGAAGGCATGGAGTGCCGCGGCTCTCCCCTGGTGGTCATCAGCCAGGGCAAGATCGTCCTGGAAGACGGCACCCTTCACGTCACCGAAGGCTCTGGGCGCTACATCCCCCGAAAGCCCTTCCCTGATTTTGTTTACAAGCGTATCAAGGCGAGGAGCAGGGTGAGTAGCTCTGATCTTACGAACTGCTTTGTCATGGACGCCGTTCAGTTTTGTAAACCCTTCGAAGCACTTTGAGTTAGAATACTGAGATGAGTGTGAGGATTCAGAGAAAAGGAAAACATGGTGTGTCTCCCTCTGGAGTCCAGAATGCTGGCGGAGGAGCCGGGAGTGTCCGCAGCCGCCAGCACGAAGGGAGACCACACCGGGTGTGGCACTGAGGTTCAGAGTGGGGAACCGCTGCCCTGGGGTCCTAGGGGATAGCGATGTGGGGAGAGGGCGTTCCGAGATGGGTCTCGGAGGTTAAGTAGAAGTTTGACAAGGCAGAGAAGGGAGATGAGGGAATTACGTAGAGAGAATGTCACGCGCGTGGAAAGTCTGCGGTGTGTCCAGCACACGGGCTGGTCTCCTGGGGGCTGCGAGGCCCGGACAGACGGAGTTGTCGGGGGGTTCCGGGAGAGCGCGGCTGGAAGGAACGTCTGGGGCCAGATCGCAACATGAGGCCAGATCCTTTTCATAATGTGTTGGGAGTCCTCTAGGTTTAAGTGGAGGTGCTTTGAGGGAGACTAGTTAGTTTTTATAGAGAAACCAGTTCCCCACGACCCACCTTGGCGGGTCATCGGCCTGGGGTGATGGGGCTGGCCCATGCTGACATTTGTCCCTGCGTCACCTTCCTTCCCTAAGTTTCACAGGCCTCTGTCCCCTCCCCATCGGGAGGTCGCCAGGGAGGTGTCCTCTGTGAATGTGTCCTGATCGAGGGGCTCTTGTGTTCTGCAGCTGGCGGAGCTGAGAGGGGTTCCTCGCGGCCTGTACGACGGGCCTGTGTGCGAGGTGTCTGTGACGCCCAAGACGGTCACCCCAGCCTCGTCCGCCAAGACGTCTCCGGCCAAGCAGCAGGCCCCACCTGTCCGGAACCTGCACCAGTCTGGATTCAGCTTGTCTGGTAGGTTGTGGTTTGGGGAGGGCCCAGCTCTGCAGGGGGCCGGGGATTCAGGGGTCACTGTTGTAGGAGAAGCAGCGGAAGCGAATGATACTCCCATTTTTCCCAAAATGGGACATACTGACATCACCAGAGATGTGATTCACAGCCCATGACCATCTGGGTTTCAGGATCTTGACATCAGTTTATATGACATGTAATACCCAATAGATTGCATTAAGAGGACATTTTTTTTTTCTGTGTATTATGGAATCCTAAAAAAAGGATGTGGTATTTCAGTGCAGTTGACCCCTGAACGACATGGGTTTGAACTGTGCAGCTCCACTTACATGCGGGTTTTTTTTTCAATAAATACAGCTGGCCCTTCCCATCTGGGATTCAACCAAATGCGAATCAAAAACAATATTTTCTCATTCCCAGTCGCAGATTCCAATGCAAATCAAAGATAATGTTTTTGGTCCACGTTTGGTTGAATCCACAGATGCGAAGGGCCAGCTGTAATTAAGTTTTCGGGGAGTCGCGGGTGGTTGGTGCCCCTGCCCCTGCGTTGTTCCAGGGTCAGCTGTGGGTGGTCGTAGTTCAGTGTACGGAGCTTCAACAGCTCAACCTCGTAGTCCAGGTGCTTGCCAGCTGTGCCTCAGCCTTCTCATCTATAGAGTGGGTATAAAAGTAATAGCTGCCGTATGAGGCTGAAATGAGGGAATGAATATGCATGTAAAGTGCTTAGGGCAGAGCCATTTGAGAATTTTTAGCTATTTGCTTGGATAAAACATGTGCTGTCAGGGACGATGAGAGGGAAGGGTCAAGATTTTAGAGCCTCCTCCCTTGAAACTTACTCTTTGTTTGGCCTGTGGCCAGAACCCTTCCACCTCCAGCTCCCTGAGCTGCAGACCCGGATCTGCACCTGGAGCGTTAAAACAGTTAGTCTGATCGTTTTTATTCTTGTCAGATATGCTGGTTTTTAGAACGTTGCCATATATGCCGTGTACAGATTCCCCATGTTTAAAAAATTTAAAAATAACGAGCCGTAGTTTTGTCATGAAGTAAAATGGACATAACGCTGTCTGTGCTGCCTTATGTCCCCAGGCCGTTCAGACGGGAGGAGCCGTCCTTCCCGCCCCTTCGATGAGACAGGCAGATGAGTGGCGTCCAGGGGGTGTGACGCCAGGCAGAGGGCTGCAGCGTCACAGGAGGCCCCTCGGGCTGCACACGGCAGGGACCGGCTGAAAGCCCGAAACACAGTGTGTTTCAGACATAGTGTGACATTTCCAGGTAGCGGATCCTACTGGCTTCTGCGGGGACTGTGTTAACACCGTCTCTGCCTTCGGCCGCCTCAAGCGCGTGCCTTCCCTGCAGTTGAAGCTCTCAGTGAGGCTTTGAGAGGACAGGGAGGGCCTGGCCCTTGTGCCCCCGAGCTGTGTTATTTCGCGGTAAAGCAGGAGCTCCTGAAACTCTGTTTTTGACCCTCACCCCTCTCTCTCCCCAGGGGCCCAGATCGATGACAACGTTCCCCGTCGCACCACCCAGCGCATCGTGGCGCCCCCTGGTGGCCGTGCCAACATCACCAGCCTGGGCTAGAGTTCCAGGGCCTGTTCCACTGGGGTTGGGGATGGGGGATGGGACACCTGAGGACATTCTGAGACTTCCTTCCTTCCTTCCTTCTTCTTCTTCTTCTTTTTTTTTTTAAGAGCCTGTGATAGTTACTGTGGGGCAGCCAGTTCACGGGGCTCCCTCATGGGCCCCGCACTCCGTCCCTCACCCGGAGTCACTGATTTTGCTCACCCACTTCCCTGCACATCTGCAAACCTCACACCACGTCTCTCCACCCACCCCTTCCATGGGACCACATCCAACACTCAGACATGCGAGACAGCAAATCGCCACGAGGGTGTGTTCCACCCCCACCTCTGTACTTGGCATCTTCCTTTTCGTTGCGAGGGAAGATAAAGTGAAATGCCCAGAGCTGCCTTTTTCATTTTAAATTAAAAAAACCCCAACAAAACCTTTTTGTTTGTGGGGCTAGGGAGGGGTGGGTCAGGGAGGGGAAGTTTCTTTCTTTTTTTTAAATTCTACATCGGAAAGCCTAATTCAAAATTACTACAAGGGGTTTGAACTGGACGTCCTGATGATGCAACTGTGCAGCCACCAAGCTGACTCAGGGTGGTCGGCAAACTCGTCGCGCCCCCGGCCCCCGGGAGGGTCCCGAGTGTTCACGTCGCCAGCTGCAGCCTTCTGGGTCCACTGGTGGTAAAGGGCAGGTGCTCTTTTCAGCCTAGGTTTTGCTGCGGATTAAATCTTTGGAGGATGCTCTTTTCCTCGCTTTACCGCCCTCCCTCCCCCATATCTCTCTAGCTTTTAATTCATTTCACAGCTATTTCTTTCTTTGTGTTCCTCCGGCCCTTGTCTCTGAGACACTGTTTCCTCTCCTTCTCCCACTGCCTTTCAAATGACCAGGTCTACCCGTCCACTGTGGTCACAGAACCTGCCTAGGAGGATGTGAGCTTTGCCACCACATCCGTAGTCACCTGCTGTCCTTGGCCCTGTGAGACTGGTGCTCCCCGCCCACCGTCACGAGGATACGCGTGCGAGTTTGAGCCTCTGCCCAGGTGCAGGGAAGGCCGAGGTGCCCACCCATACTGTCCCGCATGGGCCCAGAAAGACCCTGAGACAGCCCAGAGAGGTGGCAGAGGTCTGAGGCTGCAGAGCCTGAGAGTTCTTCCTTCGAGCAGTGCTAACTGGTCAGACACATTCAAATCTGGAAATTGAGCCTGAAGACCCAAGTGAGCCCACCAGCCCTTCGAGCCAGTCACCAGCTCAGAGTTGTTGAGCTGGTGGGGGTCTGGCTCCAAGACCCTCCTGCGTCCTGGCTTAAGTATCTTTTGGGGTTCCAGGACATACTGGGATTTCTCACTTTGGGGAGAAAATACTTTTTTTCTTGTCCCCATTATTTTTCAAAAGATACCACACAATATAGGAAGGCCTTTTAAATTCAGAAAATTCTTGGAAGAGCGGACTTGAAGTCCATTTTCCTTTGCGAGAGGAAACAGCTGTTAAATGAGCGATATGTCACATCAGAGCTGTTATAGGGAGAAGACCTGGCAAATCCAGCACGGGCCCCTTAGAGACCGAAGGTGATCTGTGTCAACATCGTCCCCTCCTTGTTTCAGTGACCCTCGCCACGAGCTGCCTTTGTGACTGTCCTTGTCTGTGCTGATCTGCGTTGCATCTCCTTCTGGGTGTGTTTACAGGTTCTCCTGAGCAGTGTTCTGTCCGCAGGCTTCTAGGAAACCACATCTGCTTCTGTAACGTGCAACACGAAAAAGGGCCATTCCATCATTCCATGCGTGTCTCCACACATTTTGCCTTTGGGGTTATGGTTTGGGTTTATTTTTTGTCGTCGTCGTTGTTTATTTGTTATTTGAGAAAGAAATTGCACTTGTAAAGAATAATTGGTTAACTTAATATATTTGCTTTTTTTTTTTTTTTCACCTGCACTTAGAAAAAATTTGAACCAGTTGGAAAAAAATTTTTTTTTGTTTCAATTCTAAGAAACACTTGCAGCTCTTCAGTGTTCACTTGAGTCTTCCTGCTTTTCCTGTACCAGGTCATGGTCATTTCGGTTACTTGGATTGTTTTCCTAAAGCGACCTACAACCTGAAGATTTCCACAGGCTGTGTAAGCATGTTTCCCGTTGGCTTGCTTTGTGTGTCTGTCCAATGAATGTCAAATGTAAATGCTAAACTACATCGACAGTGCTCAGAACTGAATAACTGCAGTGACTTGATGCTCTAAAACCGTGTAGGCTTTAATAATAGATGGTTTGAACCCTTGGAATTGTGATTGTGACCCGTGAGTGGAGGAGCTCGTTGCTAAGGCCGACTCATCATCGCGTGTGTAGCCAGAAGAGTACCTTTGTTTTGTAACCACTGTCTTAATGGCAAAATACTGATGGTAAAAAAAACCAAACAAACCAAGTCTCGTGTTTATTATTCCTTAAGAACGCTGTGTTATATTACCATGGAACGCCTAATAAAGCAAAATGTGGTGGTTTCACGGCTGTGTCTGTTGAGATGTTCAAGAGGCAGCTGCTGGCCGGGCCTTCCCACGAGCCGGCCTTCCTGAAGCGTTCTTGGTGACTGTCCCCACCCAAGAGTTTCAGTGTGTGTCCAGGTTGTCATAATGTTCAGGCCACCGAGGCTCGTTCCCAGCAGAGCTCTGCAGGGTGGCGCTGGGTGTCAGAAACCCAGGCTGTATCTTCGAGAGGCCCCGGGGCCATGGAGTCCAGCTGCAACCCTTACGTTGACATGGAAAGTGGCTGGGGCCACCTGGGTTAGTGCGGGTCACCTCTGGGCTCCCTGCATCCTTACGGCTGGGACATCCTCGAGCTCCCTGGGGATGTGCTGGTTTGCATCGGAAGCCCAGTCCAGGAGCTTGCGGGCGACCCAGACAGCACCCATTCTTCCCCCGAGCGGGTGCCGCATGCACGTCGGGGCGGCAGTGCTGGACGCTCCGTCCCACGGCCCCTGCAGGTGGCTCCGGCGTCACTGGTTCTGAAAACATGGAATGAAGAGAGTGGGTGCTGGGGGCTCCCCGCGCCCATCCTGAGGCCGACGTAGTCTCCCTTTCTCTTTATTTTCTGTCCCTCCCTGTCCAAACAGGATATCAGATGATTTACAAAAATACATATACTATACCAAGGTTGTATAAACAGTATTTGGGCAAAGGGAAAATGAGAATGGGAAAAACAAGATAAGGCCTGGGCTGGTGCACACGCCTGCCGAGAGGCGGGGACGCTGAGAGGGGCTCTGAACGCCCAGCGGCAGGCACAGAACCGGGGACGTGGCCCCAGCTGGTAGGGCATGCACAGCGACCAGGAGATAAGTACGTCCTTTAGGAGAAATACAGAGGTTTCTGGTCCTCAGTCCCGAGGACAAGTGTGGGGACCCGGTCACCGGTGTTGGGGTCTAGGCCGGCTCCTACGCTGCCCTCATGCGTCCTTGTGATCAGGGAACTTCGAAGCTGCCGCGGGGCGGGGCGAATGGCGCCCGCGCCCAGGCCCACAGCGCCCCCTAGATCCCTGTGACTCCACCCGACACCCAGACTTCCCGCTCTTACGTGTGGACACGCTGGCCACATTCCAAGTGTTGCCTGCCCTTGGCGGACACTGCGAGGGCTGCGCAGCCGCCGTGAGTCCGGCCCTGCGGGCTTGGGGCCGTTTGAGCTGAGAATTGCAGGAGGACGGCCAGAGAGTGGGGCCACAGGCTGCCCTGTGGAGCTGGGATACAACCGGTCTGATTTAATCGGAAGACATTTAAGGGCCTCCTGGAAAGGTAAGTGGGACGCCCATCCTTCAGGAAGGATCTCCGTCTCCTGTGGCCTCGAGTCCGCCCCCTGGGCTGGTGTCTGCCCCTCATATCCTGTGGGAGAAGGCAGCGCTAGGCCTCTCCCATCAACTGAGATGCGGTGAAGCTCTATTGCTGATCAGGGGTGTGTCTCCCAAAGCTTTCTGAACGTCCGTGGCCCTTTCTCTCCCTGCAGGGTAGAGGCGGCGCTCTTACTCAGCCTCCCTCCTGCTTTAGGTCCCAGTCAGATGCGGTGCAGCGCAGGGGATGGGAAGGAAGGGCAGGAACCGTCGCAAACAGTGTGCTAAGTGTCTCTGGGGAAGCGATAGGTGAAGACCGATGTCTGCAGAGGTTGTCGGGCTGCGGACACCATGAAACTGTGAGCCCCCAAACAGCCTTGACTGTCAAATGGAACTGTCTGTTGGTGAAGGTCTCATTGATACCAGCTAACATTTATTACGTGCCAGGTACCGCTCTGAAGGCACGTCACATAAAAACTCAGTTCATGTTTGCAGCAACCTGGAATAATTTATGCTGTTGTACAAATGAGACAGACGAGCAGAGTGAAGCACCTGCTCAGAACCAGGCTTAGACCCCGCAGGGTCTGGCGCCATCCTTCAGTGGCTGTTATCCTACCACTGGTGAGAAGGCTCCCCCTTGGGAGGGCGTGGCGGGCAGAGAGGGGAAGTACGGGAGTACATCGAGCAGACTTACGAGCGAAACTGGGCAGGTGAGCTCGGCAGAAAAGAACACAGTGATCTCGTGAGGCCAACACGAATTTGGAGATGCGTGGGATCTAGGGAAGATGTGAGGGGTCCAGGAAGCACACAACCAGGAGAAAAATGGTTTAGGGAAGGACAAAAAGTGCAAAGGAAGACAATAAAAATTCGAGTGCATTAAGTTTTATATACAAGATTTGGGGAGATCGTGTTGATTTGGCAAAAAATTGCATGTCTATATGCACATAGACAATTTTTACAAGAATATCACAAACGTGAATAAAATAACACCTATTGAAAATGTTTTGAAAAGGAACAAGGGACCTAGTCGTGTAAGTACGTTGTCATTTCATGAGGATTTGATGTCAGGACAGAGCGGGTGTTGTCGGGAAGCCTTCTGGAGCACAGGACATTTACATCAAAGTGGCTCACTCAGCTGCAGTTTCTTCCAGCAAATTCCAGCGTGGCTGACGGAGGCCAGGAGTCTCTCCGAAGTGTCTTCCCTCTAAGGGGTAACACAGTGACCCTGACCCCTCCCATCCTCCGAGGCTGCCCCCTGAGCACGTGCCTTCTGTGCTGGCAGGCGGGAAGACGGGGGGCAGGGGGTGGGTAGGCCTGGGGACAGGCTCAGTGTGCTTCCCATTGGCCAGAGCTCATTGCATGCCCCGCCACTGACTGGGGGAGTGTGGGTTTCCTGTGTCCCCAGGATGACAAGGAACAATGTGGTTAACACGGGGCACTCTCTCTGCCACACGAGGGAAGAGGTTGTTCCCCAAAGGAAAACTGGGGCGACAGATGTAGAAGAGGGATGGAAAACACCATTGATTTCACTGCCCTGGATTAATTACAGGATTATTTCCAAATCCCAAATGTCTCTCCACGAGAGGACAATCTTACCACTTTTATCTTAAGAAAAATGGGAAGTTGCCAAAGCGTGGCAGCTACTTGCGTTGGGCTCTGTGGATTCTTGCTGCATCTCTGATCTCTTGGTGACGACCTCGGCTCTCAACGCAGCTGTCCTCGGTGCCCGACTTAAGTTCCCTCCATGGGGCGCTTACTTGGCCGGAGAAAAGGGCAGCGTGGCCGGGGCGGTACCGACACACCTCCACGGTCTCCCTCTGCCTGGCAGTTTGTGGAGAGGTGGATCCCACACCAAACCCAGGTGCAATAGAAAGGGATCGCATGAGGCCTCAGTCTAGAGTGGAAGGCAGACTTGTAAACAGAAACTTGTGATTAGGCTTGTGCCAGAACCGCAAACCACAAGATACACAAGCAAGAGGGTGCAGCTCATTGAGGGGGTGGGAAAGATTCCACAAAGAATTCACGGGTCTCGCAAAAAGAGCGGAGACGTGTGCTGCTGCCAAGCCGTCGCCCAGACCCGCGCCCTCTGCCGCTCGGCCAGGCTCCTTTCCAAGGGTCTGCGTGGGATCCCTCACGAGAACTCTGATGGACACTGTGTCAGGACCAAGTTGACCTGGTGTCTTATTTTTCTAGTCCTGCTGCCCATTGCTGAAGTTTTCTGTCTGTGCTTAGTGACTCATTTGCAAATGGGATATGAGGCCACTTGCTGAAATGTTACAATGTTCACGAAGGGTCGCTGCACTGGAATTACTACCCCTCCTCCTCCGTCTTCACCGTCTCCACGCCCCACCCTTCGGCTCAGTACCCGCCCATTCCAGACTCAGACGAGCTGTCCTTTGCCTGATTACCATTAAATGCAGGCTTCCAGTTCAATGTGGGGTCTTGTGTGCGGTCGCCATGCCCTTTTCCTTCTGGAGCCTCAGTGCACCAAGTATTTGGTGAGGAATGGGCTCTAACGGGTGAGGAATTGCGCTCTGGCAGGTTGCACAGGCCTCCCACTAGGTGGCAGCAGTGCACAAGCTGAGTGAGAGCAAGGCGAAAGCGCCAGAAAAGAGGCAGAATCAGCACTTCAGTCAGCGAAGAACCCATTCCTGAGCGAGCGCCCAGCCAGTAACCCAGGGACTTGGGCCACGTTCTGTGAATGAGGGGACTGACCGACGACTCTGAGCTTGCAGGGTTACGCATTAATACAAAGTGGGTGTGTAGATTTAACAAGAGTCACTAAAGAAGTGGATCACTGGGGCCAAGTCTCAGATCGCCCCTGGTCCCGCCAGCACCGCAGGACAGGGCTCTGCACGTCCCCTGGCAGCTGGTCCTGGCTGCATGCTGATGTCCTGTGAAGATGGACAGAGATTTCCTCCACTCCACGCCCATCATTTACATCTGAGGTAAGTGTGGTACATTTGTGACATTGAGTGAAGCAATACCGATACATGATTAACAATGGAAGCCCACACTTTACTCCTATTCCCTTAGTCTTTACCTATTGTCCTTCTTCTGATCTGGGATCCCACCCGGAACTCTACCACCATCTCTGCAGACCCCTCCTGGGCGGACATTGTCTCAGGCGGTCCTTGTGTTGGATGGTCGACCCCAGGGTTTTGAGGAGCACAGGCCAGGTATTATGAGGACTGCCGCTCCGCAGGGACAGACGGGGCGCCTTTCTCGTGACTGCAGGGGGCCTGGGTTCGGGAGATGACCAGAGAGGTCAAGCGCCATTCCCATCACTTTGTATCCGTCTCAGCCTATCAAGGGTACGGACTGTCGATACGACCTCCCTGCGTTTCCCCGGTTTCTCATGGCAAACTAGTACTTTTTCCTCCTTTACGTCCTGTGCCCTCCGGAAGGAAGTCCCTGTGCAGTTTCCACCTCAGCAGCAGAGAGCTGTGCTCCTCTTCTCTGACAGTGGAGGACCGAGGTCTTCCATTTTTGTCACTAGTATTTTGTGTTTTTGATGCTATTTTAATGAGACTGTCTTATACATTTTAATCTCCAGTTATTTGTTGTTAGTGTTTGGAAATACAGTTGACCTTTGTGTATGGATTTTG